TGTGTGTGTGTGTGTGTGTGTGTGTGTGTGTGTGTGTGTGTGTGTGTGTGTGTGTGTGTGTGGCATGTGTTCACACACACCTTTTAAAAAGGCCGTCATATACGGCCACGGGACTTGCACGGGGATTGCTGTCTGTTGAGCGTGCGCTATCATAACTGGTGATGTTCCACAGCTGCAGTCTTTTATTTTGGAAAATAAAACCTTCCAGGACTGACAGCGTGTCATTTCGTGTTGCTCCACATTTCTGCAGGAGCAATCGTAAGCACCGGGTTTTAACTTTTGATCTGCTTGAACTGTCTTTCAAATTTCGTTTGATGCTCTGTGTGGAGGTTAAATCCGGTTTAACTCAGATTTATCCACCGTTCGAATCTCTAATTATGTTTTCTATATTTTGCAGTCAGAAATAAACTGGGCATTTTTTTCTTGTAAACATTCACAAGTTGTTGTTTTTGTTTTTAAATGCGCGAACATGGTTATATATTTATGACCGTTCATTTTGATCAGTTATCAGATTGCTGACGTGATGCGTGTAATTTCAGCTGGGATGTTCGTGTATCATTTTAGTATTTTGAAGTGGGCCCTCCAAGGTGAGCAAATTGCTTGGACACCATGTTGGTGTGTGCCGTGAGACTACAGGCCGCAGCTTTCTAGTTTTACAGAGCTCTCTGAATTAATGATGACCTGGATACACCTGTTCTTGATGTGGCTGCCACCGCACTTGTGCACAGCTTGCTGGTGATACCAGAAGAAATGGTTCGTTCATATTTTATGAACAGCCCGCAACAGAACAATAGGAATGCGATTCCTTGCACGGATGGAATATGAAGTGGTTGAGCTTCTTTTAATTAATAATAAAGAGGACTCGTAAGGTTTTACCTACCATTGTAGCTGTCCTTATTTTGCCTTTGTGCAGTTTTAATGCTAAACGCTTAAAGCGTCTCTAAAATCTATTCATTTTATAGCTTCATAAGTGGGAAGTGCACTGAAGGAACATTATAAAAAATACTTTAAAATGTAGTGTCAGGTCATGTGAGGCCTCTCTTTTATCCGGGGGGTCAAACATGGGAAATTTACAGGCAAACCAGCAATCGCTGGTAGCGTGTATGCACATCTCAATCCATGCACATTTATTTTTCTTCAGTTTTAGTGTGTTTTACCTTAAACGAATGAATGTTGTTACAAACTGTCGACCTGTGCCTCACAAAGCAGTTTAAAAACATTCATATTTAGCCGATTTCTTATCATTTTATAGCTTATAACACATCACTTTTAATGTAATCGTTGATTATTCAGTTTTTAAATGTGCCTAACTGTTCGGTTTCAAATGCGATTTTACTACTTAATGCATGAAAAATTATAGTCTCATTTTTCATTTTTCCGTGACTTCTATGAATTTTTTTTTTCAAAAGTGAACAAGACAAAGAGGGCGTCTGTAAAACGCCAACAATTAATCCTCGTAATTACCAAATGAATTGTCCAATTAAATTTTAGTTTACAACTAATAACTGACTTCAATTTTATGTTATTTCATACGACAACAAAATAAATAATACATATATAAAATCAATGATTGCCAGTGTTTTTAGGCCTAGATCATAAGCATGAACAGGACATAAATGATGCTATATTAAAAAAAAATGTGCCAATACTTTTAAAAAACACGCACGCACACAAAAAGATGAAAGGGCTAAAAAGCGAAGAATGGGTCAGGTGAAATGAAAAATCGAATTACTGTCATATATTTACAGTGTTTTGACCCTCCCGCTCTTTATTTTATCTATAAAGCGGGACGTTTTCTTATTGGGAGTCTTGCATAATTAAACAGTTGTGTCCATTAGGAGATAATTATTCAGAGTCTCTTTATATTAAGCACAATGAGCATGCCCGGCTGTCATTTTGCGCACCGATTCCCTTCGTGATTTTTTTCTTTTCTTTTCTCGTCTCGTTTAAAAGACTAAAATGCTGTGATTCCATCTTGTCTCCCGCAGAAATCCCAATGTGTGCAGGCTGCAATCAACACATCGTCGATCGCTTTATTCTCAAAGTGCTTGATCGCCACTGGCACAGCAAGTGCCTGAAGTGCAGCGACTGCCAGGCACAACTGGCAGACAAGTGCTTCACCAGGGGTGACAGTGTCTACTGCAAAGACGATTTCTTCAAGTGAGCAGCTTTCAGAAAATAAACCGTGCTAAATAAGACATTGATTATTAATTATTTATTTTCAATTTCCATTTATGGCTTGCTGGATGAGATGTATACTGATGGCAACCTTCTGTTTCCAAAAGGAGATTCGGGACCAAGTGCGCAGCATGTCAGCAGGGGATTCCGCCCACACAGGTGGTGAGGAGGGCGCAGGACTTCGTCTACCACCTGCACTGCTTTGCCTGCATTGTATGCAAGCGGCAACTTGCGACAGGTGACGAGTACTATTTGATGGAGGACAGCAGGCTGGTCTGCAAGGCCGACTACGAGACCGCCAAGCAGAGAGGTGAGCTGCAGATATGATTGCCTCACGTGTAACAGATCGGGAAACGGTCGGCAAATCAGTTTGTCAGACTCCAGGCTCTGGCATGTTGTACTTTGTGTGTCTGCTTGTTTTAAGCAACCTGCCATGACAGACGTCATCCTTAAACTTTGACCCACCTGCGCTAATTGCATCATTGCCTCCAAACCGATCGATACTAAACTGCATAAAGCGCAGGTCAGGAGGATTACATCTGCACTCTGCACTTGAAAGGATCAGCTTTCAATAACTCTTATTATAGTGGGCGGAGAGACTCAAGAGAGAGATGCATGTATGTCTGACCGTGAGAGAAGAATACACGTGTATGAGTTTGTGCGGGCTTCAGGATTATTTACAGCACGGAAATGATATACAGTGGCGTCAGGAATTGTTCTCCACTACAGTCATTGCAATATATACATGTCTGCATGGATGAATTTTACATTGCAAATGCTGCAAATTGACATTCCACTTATTATTTTTTGTAGGAATAGTTTCTAACGTTTATTCATGTGTATAAATATAAAATAATTCCCTTACATGATAGCTTTTTGATTTTAAAAAAGTCCATAATTAAAATTAAACATGCTTCAAGACCACTAAAGCTGTTTCAGAGTAAAAGTTTGCAATTATAGCTGTTAAAAAAAACATTGCTTTAACCGTGGCATATAGTGGGGCACTGATTAATTTGAGCTTTAGTGTTAGATGCAGTGTTTATACTGGTTTGAAATGAACAGCTGACTTGTAGTCATTGAAATGATATGAGGTGGCGCAGGCCAACAGCCTAAAACACGTTCACCAGATACTCTGTTTTGTATCAGTGCTCTGATTACTGAGAGTCCCAGCAGGCTCATTCGTGATAGGGCAGAGTGGGCATGGCCGATTTTTATCTCCCCATCTGTTTGTTTGAATTTACTGTGCTGATTTATGCAGTGAGTGAACACAAGTTTTCACCAAAAACACACACGTTTATTTTACTAATGACAGGGTGCAATTACTTGGGCAGCATCCATTTGGATGATGGCTTTGTATTTTGCTGTGCTGGCAAACAGATGTGCAGACATGATGCAGTTATGCACAGGGATCCAGATTTAGAGTTTATGAGCTGAAGTGAATTTATCTATTTATGTAAAATTAGGAGACAGGATGTTATGCAGGTTATGTGCTGTTGGTTGCTGTAATAAGTACGTATATTTATCAGAGATTGTAATGTTGGCAACTGAGGATGTCTGTACAGAATTAGCTGGATGGACTAGACTGGAGCTTATTTCTTTATAGCAAATTGATTGACAGCTGTTGTACAGTTATAAAAATATTGAATTTGTCTTTAAATATTTTTGCGCATTTACAAATATTAGTAACAAATATTGTTACTTTTTCAGATCCACATAGAATCTCAAAAAAAAGCCCGCCCAGTGCTGACACTATATGTTGTCCATCTGTCTTTCAGAGGCCGATTCTACAGCAAAAAGGCCACGAACGACCATCACTGCGAAACAGTTAGAGACACTGAAGAACGCTTACAATAACTCTCCAAAACCAGCCCGCCATGTGCGGGAGCAGCTGTCATCAGAGACGGGTCTGGATATGCGGGTTGTGCAGGTAGAGTACATTATTATCCATTAAAGGCTATTCCATTAGTGTCCTGACTTCATTATCAAGGGACAATTGTAGCTGACCTGGCACAAGTGTACTGTACGAACAAGTGCATATATGTGTGGGTGCCTGCTGGGTGGCGTGGGGGGGCGGATTTACGGCTAGATGGAGTAAAATGAAGTCCGACTGAACGTCAGCACTGTTTAAGTGCAAGCTCGTTAACAATGCTAAGAGGGCCCCTCGCATATTGTCTGCTGCTGAAGAGCCCCCTCCTGGTTGCTGGGTGGTGGTCATATATATTGTTTTATTTGCAAGGACAAAAGTAGAGACAGAAGCCACTAAAATGCTCCTCATTATTCAGTGAAAGCGAAGGGGTGAAGAGGGTTCACTCAGGGCGGAATATCATTAACAAGAATGTAAAACTGCTTTCTGTGCTCGTGACTGAAATGAATACATTTTGTGTGCAAGATAAAATGAATGAGAAAAAAGAAGTTTTTGCATTTAGTATCAGACTTCACAGACACCAGAAGGCAGTGAGATTACAGACAAATTAAGACTACCAGCTGCACATATACTGCTGTCTGTGAGCCAGAGTTTGAGCGGATCAAAAGCAAAGCCACAAAATTTCAAATATTAGAAGTCACCGGCGAGATAACCTGTCTGCTCTAAGTTGAGGACGACTTGTAGCTGTCATGAAGTTAATTAAATGCATGATAAATCTGATGCTGGGGACACTAGCAGTGACACCAAACAGGATTACTGTTCGGTGTCACTGCTCAAGTCTCTCACTTGAGCTGAAGTGGGTGTGAAGTGGTGTCCGGACAGTCTCTGAACATTAATTTTGCTTTAATGCTTTAAAGCATAGTATGTGCATCACGTAAGGAGCTGAGGACATCAGATGTAGGAGACTTTGACTTCTTTAGAAGTCATAACGATGAAAAAAAAGTGGCTACTTGTTCAAAGTCTTTTACACTGAGAAAATTAAATAAATGATAGAAACAAAACAAGCTGAAAATGATTTAATTAGTTTAATCAGTCAGACACTGTATTTGTATCTAATGATTTATCATGAAGTATTGCAACTTTGACTAAAAACAATTTCTTCTTCCTCTTCTTCTTTTTTTAACCCTGCAGGTGTGGTTTCAGAACAGGCGAGCTAAAGAAAAAAGGCTGAAGAAAGATGCCGGGCGCCAAAGATGGGGGCAGTACTTTCGCAATATGAAGAGGTCACGGGGTAGCTCCAAATCTGACAAGGACAGCATCCAGGAGGAGGGCATGGACAGTGATGCAGAGGTGTCCTTCACAGGTAGCGTCAACAATGCAATAACTGAGAGAAGAGACAGCTTCTTTTAAATGTGCCCTAAGAAAAGCACAGCTGCTACTACTAACATAAAGATGGCTCCTTCACTTTAAGTGTAAGTGCCATAAAGGTGAGCCAGCATGCTCACAATTAAATTAATTACATGCACTTGTTGCCTTCCTACTATGATATGTTTTCACATGAGCAAGTATGTAAAGAGTAATATTTATAATAAAGCAGGGAAACTGAATAGACCCATCATTATTGTTGAACTGTGGAATATTGATAGGCAGTGGAAAGTGATGACCGGCTCCAATGAATTTTTCCTCATATGAGATTGAAGAGCTTTTTACACAATGGCACCAGATCTACCACTCCAGCTACATTTAGCTGACTCCTTTAAAAAGAAGATGAACACATTTCTGTTTAACTTGGCTTTCTTTTGCAAATGCTATTTACAAAAAAACAGATGATAAAATAAAATAGTATTTTTATCATCTTTTTTTATTATTATTTTGCTCTGCTTTGTGACTATGTGTCTGTGAAAAGCACTTTTTAAATAAACTTTACTTACTTGTTTACTTAGAGCAAAAATCTGCTTTCCTTTCACGTTTCGATACATGAAGCTGTGACGATATTCAAATAAGAATATAGTGTCTGATATTCCAGGCACATCACAAAGTGCTGCAGTAAAATTTCGTCTTGCAGAAAGTACTTTGTTGACTGTATGTTTATGATGAATTGTTGTAACTGGAGAACAAACACATTAGCTAACTGGAAGCTGGCAGCCCAAGCTGCTCTGATAACCTCCCTAAGCCACTTATGGTTTTCGCTGAGGTGTGACATACAGCATATTCTCTCGTTTCATATTTTTCTCTGGGTTTAGTATATTATTATATTCAAGGAAGGGTTAATAATTAGTTCACCAAGCTAACAATGTGAGGAAGTTACTTGAATCAGGAAAATGGGTTTGCGAAGTCTCATTTGTGCAGCTTTACTTGACTTGAACACACTGCATCAGCTCTATTGAAGTTCATTTTTTGCAAACATTTCTGCTATTTTTTATTACTCTTGTAATCTTAATTATCTTAATTATTCCTTTATCTTTATCCTTGTTTGACAGATGAACCACCAATGTCAGAGCTTGGCCACACTAACGGCATTTACAGCAGCCTGAGCGAGTCCTCTCCAGCTATGGGAGGCCGCCAAGCGGGCAACTCTTTCCCCCTTGAGCACGGCGTCCTCCCCTCTCAAGACCAGTTCCACGACATGCGCTCCAACAGCCCCTACAGCCTTCCTCAGTCACCGGGGTCACTTCAGGCACTACCAAGACACCAGCCTCTCATCTCCAACCTGGTCTACCCTGATTCTGCCCTATCTATCATGGCCCAAGGCAGCGGTCCTGGGATCAACCCTGCTGTGAGGGTTTCCATGGGGGCAGCTAACGGCCCCAGCTCAGACCTCTCTACCGGCAGCAGCGGCGGATACCCAGATTTTCCAGCCAGTCCTGCCTCCTGGTTAGATGAAGTGGACCATGGGCAGTTTTGATTGGTCAACAATAACAAGTTTGAGCTTTTTTTCTGCATTTTTTGTGTCTTCTGTTGGATTTTACGAGTTGGAAAATAGTCTCACAGGGCTGTGATTGTGTAAGGAAAGGAAGCAGATTGCTGTCCCTGGATCACATCAATAGCTGACTGACAGGTTCATTCGGTGTGTGTTATCTGAATGAAAGTAAGGAAGACAATGCTCCTCATTTTAAGGACTTGGCCTAACAATTATCCTTCAGTAGTAATACTGTATGCAAAGTAAGGAGTTTTTCAAAAATTCTCCATTTTCAGACACCACTATAAGCTCTTTAAGAACAATATAGAGACCACACACACACAGAAAGTTTAGACATCAACCTTTTGTTTGCTTTACCAACTCTCCCTCTCTGCCCACTGCTCTTTGTTAACTAAAGTGTAGTAGGTGCAGAACTCAGTTCAACATTCAAAGTCTTTAAATGTCTGGTTGTTGCCAAATGTCTATATAAATATATATAATGGTTTATCATTGTGGAGACTTTATTTTTATACAAACCCCTTCTTGGACATGAATAAGAACCCGCATATGAGGACTTTGTACATTCTTGAACAGGGATATAGGCAAAAATTGTAGATGTTGTCTTAAATGGTACCTAGGGATCCAATTACTTCTATGCATTTGTGTGTTCTCAGATGTAACTTGTTCGTTTCATTCTACCAGAAACCACCCCAAGGAAGAACTGTAGTACCCGGGGTCTGATGTATATGTTTGTTTATGTGGGAAAAAACATGTTTTATGTCTTATTTATTCTGTCTGGTAATGATGATGATGATGATTCCTAATTAAATGGCAGGACTTTAATAAATTTGTCACCTAAATCAAAATGGGATTCAGTCCTTTTTGGTTGCTGTACAAAACAGTGCATCATACCTTATGAGACGACGAGAGTAATGAGCGCTCATAAAAGTAATTGAGTAAAGTATTCGAAGCGGTTATTCAGAAAACTGAAGATGAAATTTTATTGTTACATTTTAGGTTATTTTTAGCACTTGAAAAATTATTGTTAAAACAGGGAAACAAGAACCAACGAACAAGGCAGTCACCCTTTATTCGTCTTACCTGCAGCATTTTTTATCTTGCATCTCTATAGTACATATCGCCACACTGACTGTGAAACCAGAGCAAGCCTGCAGTTCTGCCTGTGTCTGCAAATTGAGTATCTGGCTAACTACCAACACTGTATCAGGGGTTCAACAGCTCTTTAGTGAAGAAATTTGATGCAGTCAACCCATCAATTCAGAGATTACTGGGTCTTGTTTGCCCAAATGTCCCTATGGGAAAGGAATCTCCAATCCATTATCCAAGAAGGGATCAAGTGCCCCTTGTGAATTTCCTCATTTGTTTAGTTATTCAAAGTCAGATTCAATTAAATAGATTAAACAGTAAATGTGTGCGTGCATGCGAGTGTATATGTGTGCGGTTCTTTGTTGACGTGTTTCCTTCTATAAGGGCTTGTGATACATACGCATGGAAACACCTTTGCATCATACAAGTTTTAAATCTTTATGCTTTCTGTAGTGTTTTTTAATGGGTGCTTTCTTTTTGTATTGATATTTGTGCTCACCATCTATAAGCCATTAGCGGGTAAAGCCATTTTACTTTACCTGTTTCAATTTCACTTCAAGCATCCTAAATATGTAAATCAATAAACCGCGATGGAAGCAATATACTTATGGACACCTTTGAAAACTTTTTTTTCTTTTTTTTCCATTTTATGCTACATCATGTAGTTTCGCTTAAAATATTGTTTTTTGCTACACTAAAGGATCCAATGAAAAAGGTTAAATTACCAAGCAGAATGTAAAATATTTGCAATCTGTCCATTTTTGGATAATGCATTTAAAGTAAATACTGCTGCATTCAGAGAGACTGAATCTGAGTCTTGTGCATGGTTGTGCGTTTTTGTATGCAGATTTGTAAAATTTGACATGCACGAGGACAACAGCCAGCTGTCCTCATACCCTTCTTTTGTTTTGAAGTGTAACCTCCAACTTCCTCTGCCGCTAATGGCTGCCTGATCTGCTCCTCGGGTTCCAACAACAAGGGAAGGAACACCAGAGCTGAATCCTTCCAGCTGAGAGGCAGGTATCATTGTTGCATCCCAGGTGTGTAACCTGACCCAGAGAGTGTTTGGTGAAAAGAGAGTAAGGGGGTGAGAGTGAACAGTCAAAGGCTCGGTCAGTTTACTGGGTTGTTTGCATTTGGGTTAGAAAGGCTTATTTGTTGCTTTCCTTTGCTTAAAGGAAAGGCGCAGTAACGTGGCACCTGTGCTATAGCTTCATGCATTTACACTCTAAGAAGTTCTTTGGATTTCTCGGCCCCATCACATTTTAACATTTTCACCCTTTCTTTTACCTTCACTTCTCATTACTAATGCGAAAACGCATTAGTGTGGACGTAGCCTGTCACTCTGCAGGTGTGAGATTTTAGTGACCATAGGGTGAACTCCTCTAAGCAAATAACTGGGATTATGTCACCCCACTCTTTCAGATTGAGTTGGAAATCCACTATTTTCTGAGTGAAAAATTAGATTAGGGTTGTTTAAACAATTTGTCAAATGGGTTGTACAGACTTGCTACGGAAAGCATATTCAACAACTTAAGTTGAATGAAGAGCGTAACGCGTAAGTAAATGGTGGGAAAATTCAGAGGAAATAGAAGTAGGTGGGGAAAAGTGTAACGTGATATATGGAGTGTACATTTGTATTTGTACAAGGTTGCACGCAATTTAAGGAAGAATACGACTGAGACAGAAAGAACAAGAATTAATTAACAAAATTAACAAAAATTAATTAGGAAAACCAAACTTTACTTAATTGTGTGAATCAGTAGGATTGTTGTTGTATTGTACACAATTAAAAGCAGTTGAAGGATTGCATGATTCTTGACTCATGCACAGGATTTCTATAAAAAGCAGTAACATGTGTGCAAAAAAAAAAGAAGAACAAAATAGGGAGGGGAATAAAAGCATCTTAACCCTCTTTTATAACAGTTAAAATTTCATCATAAATAACAAATTATTTTATTTCAAAGTCTGCATACAATATAAATAATCAGCATTTTTAAAAGGGTCTTCTTAAATGTTTTAATTTTTAAGATGAGCATCCAATGAGAAGTTAAATGCCCCTCTCATTTCTGTCTGCTGTTGCATATGAAGCTAAACAGGACACAACTAGTCCAGCATAAAGAATGAAAACCAAAAGAAACAGTGCAGTTGCTTTAAAAACATCTGCTATTCACTGCATCTAAAGCTTATTATTGCAGTGTTATGTATGTTTTTTTGTTTTAGGGTTTTTCCATCATCATACAAAAAAATGTAAAAACATCAAATTATTGTTTGATGTGGATTTCCTCTTAACCAGTTTCCCCTGCTTACAGCCTTTTTACTATGCTATGTTAGCCAACTTCAGTTTATGAGACTGTCAATGATACTTCAGTCTTTTCTTCTAATTTCTGATAACACAGCAAACAAATCCTTTAATAACGTATATTTTTATCATGTCTGTAAAATAAAATTTATAAAACCAAGACTTAAGTTAATTCTGTAACTTACATTATAACGTAATGCACATTATAATTGTTATTTTCATATCATGGCTTTTTCAGTGCTTTACAGAACTTTTTTTTTTTCAGTTACAATGAGTTATAATTACACTTACAAATGAAATTTAGATACCTTTTTATGACTGCCAGCTCACAGTCATAAACAAGAAAAAAAATTATTTAACAACAGATCAAAAAATTGTTTGTGCGTTG